GGGGGCTGGGGCTGGGGCTGAGTGGTAGTGCACTTACGTGGCATGTGTGGAGCACTGGGTTCAATTCTCAGCACCCCATATACATAAATAAAATAAAGGTCTTCAACAACTAAAAAAATATTTTTACAAAGAAAGGAAAAAAAAAAAAGTCCAGAACAGTCCAGTCCTGGATGGGGGTGGGGCTGTGTGGGTCCCATTGGCCTGATGTGATTGCACAGGAGCTGGGACTCAGTGCAGGGGAAACACTTGCTCCACCAGGTGACCAGGCACCTGCAGGGGCCATGCCTGGGTGCTGGACCCACAGCTTTGTCCAGCCTCTTCCAGCTCTGGTGTGGTCTCCTTGCTGGTTCCCAGGGTGCTAAGCCTCCTAGTCGGATGGTATGAGAAGTGAGGGCAGTGGTGAGGTTCCTGTGAGGCTGCACAAAGCACAGCTGGCCAGGGTCAGCGCACGTTCCCCACAGGTCTCGTGGTCTGGAGGAAACTCGGGGTGTGTGGCTGTTCTGCATGTGTATACGGTGCACACCTGTGTGTGCTGCTGCATGGGGTGTGATGGCTCTGCTGGCTTGCACCTGGCAGTCCCACCCCTGCCTCTTCTCCTGTGAGGAGGGACATTTCCTTGAGGACTGAATTTCACTCTTAAGCGCCAGATATGAGGCCATGTTCAAGGTCACTAACAACATCAGAAACCTTTAAAAATTAGAACTGGTGGGGTCAAGTGCAGGTGACYGCGTGCTGGCCTGCAGCTGCCTGGCTTGGGTTGGGTGGGTAGAGGCTGGCAGGGAGGGGGTGCCTGGTTTTCTGTGCCTGTGTGCTTTCAGATCATCCCAACTGACTTGCATGACGTGTGCCCCTCTCTTACCTCCCCAATTCCCAGATGCTCAGGGAACAAACCCTCCTCCATCCCCAATCACCCSATCCCTGCCAGAGCCCTGTTGTGCCCCTAGGTTTCTGCCTAGGCCTGGGGCAGCAGAAGGCCGACTCACGCTCTGGGTGTGCTGGGGGCTCCTCCCACCTCGTGCTTTCCCACGCCAGCACCCTGGGGTGGGGCCCCTGCTGCCGGTCATGATCTGCACACCAGTGCTCTGGCAGTGCATCACGTGGTGGCTCTGCACACGGGCTTGCCTGGCCTCCCTTACCACTTGGCCCAGCTGGACCTCACCTTCCTCTGAACCCACTTGCTCCAGTTTAGGACTCACCTGTGCTCTGGCCCCAAACATCAGTTCCCCAAGAGTTTGGTGGTGTCTGCATCACAGGCCAGTTAGGAAAACCAGCAGCCCCCTCCTCCATCCACGGCAGGGTGGGCCTGGTGAGTAAGTGTTCCCAAAGCCCACCCACAACTGTTGAGCCTCATCTCTGGAGTCTCCAAAGAGTGGTCCCCTCTGGTCCTGAAGCCCTTCACTAGCGTGTTTTCTAGACCCATAAAGGACATGGAGAGTGGATGAGACTGCCTAGTTGTTGATCTGGCAGAAGTCACTGCCCCTGGTGAGCAGTGTCTCCCTGATGGTCAGGTTGCAGGGCACAGGAGGGAGGGTGCCATCCTCTGCTGATGTGGTGTGCTGGTGGCCTCGCTGGGGTCACAGCTGATGGCCTCATGTGCACAGTATCCTGTGGCTGCAGGTGGTCTAGTTTAAAACTCTGGTGTGACTCCTTTTGCATGCACCAGCTTGCAGCTTGGGTTCTGGGTATCCTTTATGTGTGCCCACTGCGGGGTGGGGGCCGCAGGGTTGGACTGCTGGCTGGGCTCTGAGCAGGAGGGATCCGGCTGGCAGGGACTCTGGGGCCTACATCTGAGTGTCAGCACAGCCTGGGTGGAATGGTGGCAGCTGTCCTTTGGGTCTCTGACTCCTGGCACTTGGCGGAGATCCTGCAAGCAGCTTTCTGTGACCCTGGCATCATTAGTTCTTTTCTAAAGGATTTGCTATTTTATTTTTATTTTTTAAAAATATTTTTTAGTTGTAGGTGGATCTTTATTTTATTTATTTATATATGGTGCTGAGAATTGAGGCCAGTGCCTCGCACAYGCGAGGCAAGTGCTCTACCACTGAGCCACAACCCCAGCCCAGGAGTTGCTGTTTTATGACTTTGTTTTCCAAATGTTGAATTGGTATGGTCGCCTTCCAGAACGTGTGCTTTTCCTGTTTGGACTTGATGTTAACTTATAGTTCTGGTGTCTAAAGAAYGTGGCGAGAGCCCTGGAGACCACCGCCCAGGGAGACTTCCAGCAGTGTGTCCAGTTTGTCTGGAAGCCTCTGCCCTGTGCTTCAACTCTTACTCGTGGATTCCATGGCCCACTTGAGTGGGAGTGGGGCACGAGACACTCCAAGGGTAAGGGCAGGYCCAGCAAGACCACGGATCTGAGCAGGACCCTGCACAGGATAGACCTCAGGCCCTTGTGTCACCTTGGCCTTGGATAAAGCCACTTTATATGCTGGTGGGACCCTGAGAGCCAGGAGGTGAATGAATCTGAGGCCCACCCACTCCCCCCACCTCAGGAACCCCATTAAACAAAACCCGGAGGTCTTGCCCGGGGGCTCCTGGTCTGGGCAGCAGTCATTCRTCCTGGGACTTACAGACGAGGAAAAGCAAAAGAAACCTTGAAGCTGCTGCTCATGGGCCCTGCTGACGGATCAAGCCCTTGCGATTTCTGAGTGGGGGGGGGGCGTCTGGTCTGTGGCTCTGGGTTTCCTGTGTACCCTGTTCTCAACATGCAGGACAGTGCCCTGATGGCTGGCAGCAGCCAGGCAGCTCAGAGAAGTGACTGAGTTGTGTGGCCTTGAGTGTGTGCTGGCAGGAGCTGCACCCTCTCCCTGGGGTTCTGTGTCCACCACCTCAGACTTACCCACTTGGTTGTCCCAGGGTATGAGGACCAGGCCCCTTCATGCCAAATTCTGTCCCCCTGTTATCCTTACCCCCTCCCCTGAGCCCCTGGAGGGCCACAGAGGCTGGCAGGCCTCAGGCTCACCTCCTTCCAGGCCCRGGACTGATGGCAGCCATTGGTGGTCACAGCCTTGTCTGGAACACCAAGGCCACAGCAGAGCAGCAGTGCTCTCATCTTGTGGGTGCAGTTCCTGGGGCCTCTGCTGTGCCCTCCTATGGCACTGGCCCACACAGTAGTATCCAGGGCCCTGTCGTGCTAGGGCTTTGTGGGCTTGGAAGTACTCTCCAGGGACGGGTTTCTGGCTCTGGGCACACCCTGGCACTGTGTGGGTGTGTGCAGTTGAAGTCGGTGGTGTGCACATGGCTCTCAGGGCTGTCTTGTGGGCCAGCTGCAGGAAGCCCCAGCTTTGCAGGCGGGAGCTGACTGGGGTTGAGGCCCAGCTCTGGCCACTGTCCCTCCTGTTGATGTGGAGCCACATGTTTGGGGCAAGGAGGCCGGCACATCCTGGTTGCAGCTTGTGCCGATGGAAGGAGTAAGTGTATGAAGCACCTGGTCCTCCTCCACGTTGAGTGTCCCTGTGGTCATGGGGCTGAAGCACCCCGTTGCTCGTGGAGACATTGGGCACCCAGATGAGCTCCTGGGGGGAAGTGACTTCTGGGACTGGCTGTGGTCCTGTGGGGAGTGTCATCCGGTCGGGCTTCCTGAAGGGTTGTCAGAGGACTTGCTCTGGTTTCTGTTGACCTCAGTGGGCTCCCGGGCTCCTTAGTGGCTTCCCTGCCTGATTGAGTCAAAGAGGACCCCCTAAGCCTCATGACCTTGGGGTGCCCCGACATGAGCAAAGTTCTGCTTCAGACAGGGCTCAGGGACAAGACTTACCAGAAAATGACCTGCCCTTCAGGTGGGGACAGGCCCTCTTAAGGGGCACTGGAAGTGGCCACTCAGTAGATATTTGCCAGCCAATGGAGTGTGGCAGGATCACTTGCTCCAGCCCCTCTGCAGCCAAGGAAACGGGGCCGTTGGCCTGGCAGCCTTCACACAGGGCTGGCATGGGGCAGTGTGGGGTCTCGAGACCAGCCTGGGTGTGTGCTCCCGGCTCAGAGCTAGTTCCTTAGGCACTGTTTGGGGTGGGTGGTGGGTTCTGCCAACATCTCACTTGGCTGAACAGGAAGAAGTGTTCTGAAGCCATCCTGGGGGCCCTGTCCTCTTTGACAGGAGCAGGAGGCAAGTGGGAAGGTGCTTGGCCATACTCCCACCGACCCTTCATGGTAAGGGGCAGGCAGCCCAGCATCCATTTAACCCAGACGCCTGCCCATCTGGAGTGGGAGTCTGAAACGTGCTTCCTGGGCAGGGGTGTGGGCTGGGGTGGGGCCGGGTCTGGACATCCAGGTTGGGAATAGCCCGCCACTGCTCGCTCCATGCTGCACAGTTCTCCTGCCTTCCTCTGCCCTCTGCAAGTGGGCCAAGGGGACGTCAGCATCCCTGAAGGGCCACTGCCCTGGAAAGACGTGCGTGGAACCTGGCTGTGGGCCCAGACTGCCTCAGTGTGCCCACTATGGAGTCCCAGTGCTGAGCTGTGCCACCTGTTTCCTCCTTGTTCTCGGGGTCAGAGAGGGATGTGGCCTGTGCCCAGCACCTGTGCCCACCGTGTTCCCTGAGGAAGGCTTGCCCAYTCTGCTGTGTGGCTTGGTGCATCCCTCTGCCTGGCTCCCTCTGGGCAGGTGATGGTCAGTGTCTGAGTGTGAGGTCTGTGCAGAGGCGTGGAGCAGGTCCACATGGCTGTCCCTACTTCTTCTCTTTGCCATGAGCATCTACTTCAGTGTAGATGTTTGAGGTCACCTCCGGGATGCCAGGCATTCTGTGCATTTGGGATCAGAGTCCCTTGTCTTTCTAGAATTTCATTTCTCCTCGGCAGCCACTCTCCTGCCCCTGCTCCCCCCCCCCCCCCCGAGGCTCTCTGCCTGAGGTCATGGGGCTTCCCTAAGCAAGATGAGAACTGGCTAGGCAGGACCTCCTTCAGCCCCAAGGCCAGCATGGCCTGCCAGCATTGGTGCTCCAGGGAGAGGAGCAGCTAATGATTTTGAGTGTCTAACCCTCTTTCTTTCCTGCTGTCCTGCTCTCCCAGGAGATGTCCTCTTCCAGATGGCTGAAGTCCACAGGCAGATCCAGAACCAGCTGGAAGAGATGGTGAGTCTGGCCTCTAGTGACCGCTCCTAGGTGCAAAAGGCAAATGCAGGTGGGCAGGGTGGGCAGGCTCAAGGTGAAGAGCTGGCTACATGCTTTGGCTGTGTTCCTATGTGGGACTGTCCCACAGTCCTGTGACCATACTCAAAGGTAGAGATAGGCCCTGGGCTCTGGGCACAGGTCAGATGAGCCATGGTGAGCGGCCTGGGGACAATGTGCGTGGCTAGGCCAGGTCTCACCCTGGGCTGGCCTCAGGAGCCAGGTGGGGTCAGTCAGCGCCAGCCCCCGGGAGGAGCCATGTGTGCTCTGACGCCAGCCCTGCCAGGACCCAGTGCCTTGTGGTGATGGCCAGAACGCTGGTTTCCTCTGGACTCCCCTGACTCCCTGTGGGGGGTGCTGGTTAGAAGCTTCTGGCCCGAGGCCAGGGGTTGCCGAGGTCTCGCCCGTTTCCTCTCAGGCCCAGCTGCTGTCTGCTCTCCTCTGGCCCCAGCATGGGTCAGTGGGTGTTTGTTTCCCTCTGGGAAAGTGGACCTGTAAAGCTGAGGAGGGCCAGTTTGTTTAGCGTTTGGGACCTCTGTCCAGTGCTCGCTCCAGCAGCTTCCTGGTTCCACGGGGCCCAGGTCTCACTGGGTGCCCTGTCCAAGGGCTCCTGCACAGCCTTGAGCTGACTGCGGGTCTGTGTTCTCTCCCATGTCCAGCTGAAGTCTTTCCACAACGAGCTGCTCACGCAGCTGGAGCAGAAGGTGGAGCTGGACTCCAGGTACCTGAGCGTAAGTAYGCCTTGCCAGCCCCACCGTGCTGCCGCCCTCTGCTCTCAGAGCTTCTCGGCTCCTCTGAGCCTCCTGTGCAAGAGTGCTCCCCCACCTGAGCGCCCCGGGCGCCCCACGCGCAGCCCTGGGATGACCGTCACACTGAAGGCACCAGGGGCAGCTCCCCCTCTCCACCACTGTGACACAGCCGAGGACACGGCTTTGACGCTCTCCCAGAGCTTCACGAGTGCCTCTGGCCTGCTGTTCCTGTCCTTGCCGTTAGCTGGCCAGGAAGCTGAGGCAAACCTCCAGGCAGGATTTACCCCATGGGTTGACGCTTTTGCCTGAGGACCAGGGCCCTTCCCAGGTCCGTTTTTTGTCTTTGGGCTGTAGAGACCTGCTGTGGGCAGGTAGGCGGAGGTTGCCTGCTGATCCAGACTGCAGCTGAGCATGTCTCCTGTGCTGCCCCYGGGCCTGCTCTGCCTGCAGCCGGGGAAGGACCAGGAGGGGAGGGGCCGAGCTGCTGCTGAGCTCTCGAGCTTCTGTTTTCGTTGTGGACCCTCAGGCGGCACTGAAGAAATACCAGACGGAGCAGAGGGGCAAGGGGGACGCCCTGGACAAGTGTCAGGCTGAGTTGAAGAAGCTCCGCAAGAAGAGCCAGGGGAGCAAGAATCCACAGAAATACTCAGACAAGGAGCTGCAGGTAGGTCTGCCCCCACCACCAGGTGCCAGGTCACCAGGTCACCAGGCCAGCCCACAGCTCCAGGTAGGGCCTCTTCCACAGAGCAGCCCCTCACACTTTCAGCAAGAAAGTGATCACCCCGTCTTGGCCAAGGACAGGATGAGTCCCTGGTGGAAGTGGGCAAGGGCTGCTTGGCTCTCCTGGGAGATTTCCCCGCAGGCGCCAGCATCCCCTGGCTGGCAGGATGACCTGCTCACCAGAAGGTTCTTGGCCACAGGAGCAGGAATCCAAATTAAATCCTTCCCTGGTCGCTCTGGATTCTGCCCCAGATTGTCACCCTCATCAACTAGTCATGGCAGCATGGCCGATGGCTCCTGAGAGGCTGCTGCTGTTGCTGTTTCTTTCACCATCCCACCAGAAGCGCAGGTGCTGGGTCCCTCATGGCTTGGGTCCTGAATGGCACAGAATGTATAGCAGAGCTCCCAGGGGTGTCCTGAAACAGTGGGCCAGAAAGCCCACGCCCACCGCAGAGGTCGCCATAGACAGGCAGGGAGGGACGACAAAGCAGGACACCAGTTGTTTGGAGGAGACACCAGGAAAACCCCAGACAACCACGACAGAAGTTTCCGGAAATGCTCTGGGAAGGCAAGGGTGTGGCTCTGGGGTTAGTCTCTGATCTGGGGGCTCCACCCTGCCTGCTGTTCTCAGCACACACCTGCCTAAGTGAGCGTGTGCACAGGTGTGCAGCTGTGGTGTCCACACTGAAGTTGAGCAGGTCTGTGGGCCTGAGCAGCGTGCCGCCCTGTGGGGGTCACTTGGTAGGCCTGGGCAGGGAGCTGAGACCGCTAAGGAAGAAGTGCCACAGCAGGAGTGGCAGCTGCCAGTGGCCCCGCCGTGCAGGTTCCTGCTCACGCAAGTGTGCTTTGCAAGGCGGCAGCGACAGTCCCTGCCTTCCCCATGTGGGGTGCATCTCTCTGTGCTCAGAATCTCTGTTTTGGTCATTCTTAACGATCCGCAGCTGCCTCTCAGGGTGTGTGCAACCTAGGGCTGTCCCAGATCGCTGCCCTGACTACCTCAAAGTCTGCGATCAGGGCCCTCAGAGTGGGAGTGTGGTGAACCCCGACACGCACCCTTCAGTACGTGTCTTACGTCCTCTTGGATCTTTGATGCTGGCCGCCATTTTGCCTTCTGAAGGCCTGACGCATACAGAGCGTCCCGCTGACGGGAGTGTGGTAGCTTCCTCAGTGCAGGGGCAGGCAGTGCAGGTGATTGCTGTTGGCCTTCCTGGGCAACCAGTCCAGGTGTGAGAGTGCATGAGAGAGCAAGCCTTCCAGCCTGGTGACAGGACACCAAGGCTGTCCAAGGGATGGCTGCCCGCTGGGGGGAGCTGGAGCCTGTGTTCCCCTCTCCTCAAAGCGCTCTGTGTTGCCCTGGTAACAGCCTCACAGAGCCGACAGTGGGGTGGTTCTGAGCACATCTGCAGAGTTGTGCCACCATCACCACAGGCAGCTCAGGGCATTTCCACCACCCAGGAGGAGTCCCATGCCCTGGCCAGACACAGCAGCGCACACCGCCATCCCAGTGACGCAGGAGGCTGAGGCAGGAGGACCACAAGTTCAAGGCCAGCCTGGGCAACTTGACCCTGTCTCAAAAAAAAAAAAAAAAAAAAAAAAAAAGGTGGTAACTGTAGCTCACTGGTCGCACACACACTCCAAGCCCATCAGCAGTCACCCCATGTCCTGCCTCCTTCCACTGCCCACAGCACCACCCTGCCTTGTGGCTAGAGTGCCTTGTTCTGCATGTTCTGACTGATTGGACTTCCGCCCWCTGGCCCGAGGTGGGTTTGCCCCTCCACTGCATCTCACTGGCCTCCCATCTATGCAGCAGTGGAGGCCCTTCCTCGCCCCCCSCAGTACTGGGGATGGAAATGGGGGTGCTGTACCATTGAGCTACATTCCCAGCCRTTTTTATTTTTTATTTTGAGACAGAGTGTCACTAAGTTGGCGAGCTGGCTTCAGACTTGGCTCCTCCTGCCTCAGCCTCCCGAGTGGCTGGTATGCGCCATCATGCCCAGAGGCCTCTCCTCCTGGCAGATTGTGAGCCTTGGGGTGCCCAGCCTTGGGGAGGTCTGCTCTAGGACCATTCTGGTGCCTCCTTCCCAGGTGGGCTGCGTGGGCCCCTCCAGTACCTCAGTGCTGCCCGGGCTCACCTCCTGGGGGCTGGGCACAGATGTGACCTGAGGGACACCTAGTCCTGCATGAGCCCCTGTGGCTGTACGTTCTTGGGTGTAAAAGTAGGGTCTGTAAAATGGGTGGCTGTACAGACAGGGTGGCTCCAGCTGCCAGCAAGGATGTCCTAGGCACCAGGAGCAGCCTGTGTTGAAGCTGCCGTGGTGGGGTCGCCCTGGTGGGGTCGCCCTGGTGGCTGTACCTACTGTGTCCCCCCCACAGTAAGTGCTCGTGGTGTCTGTCCATCAGGCAGCGGCCACTGTCAGTCTTGGCTCTGGGGTGGGCTTCGAGCAGGCCTGGAGGGTGGAGGTGTGCTGCTGCTGCTCCAGGCTGTCTGTCCTGACAGGCAGGAGCTGAGTGCTGGGGCATCTGGTAAGGACGGTGACCTCTGGCTGGTGGTGCCTGCCCAGCCAGAGTTTGCTGAGGTCAATGGTGCTCCTGCCCCTGTGGAGAGAGTGGCTTCTGGAGCAGCTGGCAGGGGTAGAGCCCAGTGTGAGGGGCCAAGTGCTGGGTCTGCAGATCACCCAGCTCCACCTCTGGCCCAGCGGCCCTGCTGGAGGGGCTCTCCCCTGCCTGCCTCAGCTACGCTCATGAGGGCTTGGCCTCATGGCGCCTCTCCACAGAGATGTCCAGTGCTGACCTTTCCTCCCAGGTGTGAAGCTGCCCCTTTGTCTGTCTTCTCTGTACAGCTGTGTGCCTCCCAGCTTGGCCTGTTTGCCCTGCCACGAGGCTTGTCCCGAGCCACCCCAGCTTCCAAACACGCAGTAGCCCTGTCTGCCTGGTACTGCCCTCTCCATGCGCTGCAGATGGCCCCAGGCTGGCCTGTCGTCAACTGGGCACATCCTCTGGATCCTCTTTTTTTTTTTTTTTTTCCTTATCTTCAACCTTTAATAGGCTAATGAACACAAATTGAAACAAATGTGAATCATGCTTGGTTCTGAGAGAGAGAGAAGGGATTTCCCCCATATTTTAAACATATTCACATAATCAGTTCTATAAAACCAGTTTTCAGATGACATTCACCATTTTTGTGAAATACTGAACATTACTAATTAAGTCCAACCACAACTTTAAAAAGGGGAAASAGTGATAGAATTTACTGAAGTGGGAATATAACCAAAATATTAATTTAACTACAAGTAAGTTTTACTTAAATCAGGATTGTCCAACAAAAATAATTTTGTCAGTCATTCATGATCTGATTTCTGGTGTATCACATCAATTAAATCATGGTGCACATAAAAAAGCCAAGAGACATTTCTGTTTGGTAATAAATAAGGCAGTAGCTATTACTCATTAGTGGCTTTTTTGAGGTAAGCTATTAGGTCTGCCCTTTCTCCCTTCTTCTTAATGCCAGCGAAGATCATTTTTGTTCCAGGGATGTACTTTTTGGGATTCTCCAAATACTCCATCAGTGTATCCTCTCCCCAGGTGATGCCTTTGTTCTTGTTGGCATCTGTATAAGAGAATCCAGCAGCCTGACCTGCCTTCCGCCCAAACAGTCCATGGAGATTTGGCCCAGTCTTGTGCTTGCCTCCCTTTTCCACCGTGTGGCATTGGGCACACTTCTGAACAAAAATCTTCTTGCCTTTCTCAACATCACCCATTTTTAATTCATTCTTTCGTGGCTAGTGCAAAGAAGCAAAGAAGGATCCCGATCAGAAGCCGGACGTCCCACTCTCTCTCTGGATCCTCTCTGAGTCTCAGTTTCCATGTCTGGTTGGGGGACGCTCTGGCCTGTGTCTTTCCTCTGAGCAGGGCGGGAAGGGCCTGTGTGGTCCCCACGTACACACACACATATCCCCTCCCCCGGCATCATGTCTCTCCCAGATCTCCCCATCTTCTGCTTCTCAAAAAAGTTTTCTCTTGCCTCTTCATGAAAAGTAGCCAGGTGTCTGGTTTCTGTGGTCTTCCCTGGACGGCTGAGGCTCCCCAGGACGGGATGGGTCCTGCCTTTCTACAGCACTGGCACAGGCTGACCACAGAGTTGATGACCTACAGGTCTCGGTTCTTTTCTTTTTATTTTGTGCTGCCGGACGGAACCCCAGGCCCTATGCGTGCCAGCTAGGTGGGCGCTCCACTCTGAGCTGCCTGCTCCACCCTGACATTGGATTTCTAAGGGTGGAAGCAGAGGGACCTGCTGAGCAGCATCACCTGACCCCAGTGTTGCAGAAGCCCAAGTGGCCAGGCTGGGAGCCCTTGGAGTCTGAGTTCGAGAAGGAAGATGGGGTACTTGGTGTACAGCTCCCCTGTGTCCCTCTGAGCTGGTCAGGGAGCTGCTTGGGGACCTTTGCCCCTGGGGCACTCCTATTGGCTCTCAGTGCCTTTGTAAATCTGGTCAGGGCCTGATCTCTGCTTTAGGGTGACCGCTGGGGGCTGGGTAGGGCCCTGGGGCTTTTCACTGCAGGAGCAGCACCTTCCCCTTCTGAAGGGAGGACACATCCTAGCCCACCCCCTGTGCAGCCCCCCCTCAGGCTCTGCCCCTCCACCAGGCCAACCCTGTCCCTCTGGGCTGGCCCTTTACCGCTTTTTGTGGGTCTGAGACCCCTGCAGGTCCTTGTTACCAGGGAGAGGACCTTTCCTTCCATGTGGAAGTACAGCTTTTCAGAGAYCTTCTCCCCATGTTTTCCCCTTTGTTAAAGATTTTGAGTGCTTCCCAGCTGCCCACAGGGAGGCCCAGTGGCCAAGGCCTCCACAGGGCCCTGCTGGGGCAGTTTCCAGCCAGAGGGCTGTTCCCTGCACCATCCTGGAGACCCTGCCTGGCCCTCGGGATGCTGCAGCCCTTAGACCTGCTTGCTCTGTGCCAATGGAGCCACCATGTCTGGTGTGCCTGTGGGGTCACCCTGACACGAACAGTGGTTCTCGCCCCTGAAGCAGGGTTTGGGGAGGCCGAGGTGCACACAACCAGTTGCTGGGGTGGCAGCTGGGTGCTATCCTATTTGGACCCCTGGGATTACTTCCTAGAGCTAAGTAGGAAGGTGGGACAACTGGACCACTGGGAGTGGTGATGACCCCAGGCCCTGGAGTGACCTGGCCCATCCTGGGCCTGGGGTGTGTATAGCAGATAAGTAGAGGTTTCCACTCAGTTCCCCAGTCACTCCCCCCCCCCCCGCACAGAGGCCCCTCCTCATGTCCATGAGATGCCCTTTTGTGTCCCCATTATCTCTCAGACTCTGTGTGTCCCTCACCTGGTGGGCCAGACATAAGGGGGCCTAGCCATGGTACAGACTGTAAGCAGCAAGGCAGGTGGAGACTGGTAAGGACATCTGTGTATGGCAGGTCTCGTGGCTGGCACAGGGTCACCCTGGGGTGCTTGAGCAGTGCTGGAGCCTGAGCCTCTGCTGGCCATGGTCACTGCTGGTGGAGGGGGAGGTGGAGGCTCAGGAACCAGGCCGCCTGAGTCCTGGCCACCCTGGTCTCGTTAGGTATACCACAGGCTACAGGCCAGTGGGAGGAGCAGTGGTAGTGTGTAGTCGGATATGGTCCTCTGTGTACCCTTGCAGCATGACTGTGTGTCTTGAATCGTCTCTGAGGTCACTGGGATGCTTGGAGCCTGGTGCTAGCCGTGACGTCCTTCTGGCCTCTGCCACCTGGGTCCAGGGGCTCCTGAGAGCAGAAACTCACCAGGGAGGTCCCGGGGCTGTTTCAGGTTGGGGCTGAGCTCAGGGGCTCATGGGGGAGCAGCTCTGTGTCTTTGGGGGTACCCACGTGGCAGAGGGCCCCAACAAGTGCTGCTTTCCCAACAGCCTTTCTGCTGCTGGACTCTGCCAGAGCCTTGTACACATGCAACAGTAGCTAGGCCTGTGGCCTTCACTGGACTGCGGGCAGGCCAGGCCCAGAGCAGTGGTTGCTGCCCAGGTTGGTGAAGGAACTGGTGAAGTTGCCTGGGGCTGAAGTTACCCAGTCCCTGCCCAGAGAGGCAGCAACACCAGGAGCTCAGCAGCCACACTCCGCAGATGCTCGAGACGGCGCGTGCTGGGATTTCCACAAAAAGAGCTCTTTAAATTATAGGTCAGGGAGCAGGAGCCCAGGAGCATTTGGGGCACTAACTGGGACGGGAGAGTTTTACATAAGAGGAGGGCGTGAGCAAGACACCCACAGCCTGCGGTCACCCTGCCCCACCCCGGGCTTCACTCCCCTGCTACTCCATCACTCCCAGGCCAGCCATCCAGGCTGAGGGAGGAGCCTGACCACGTGGAGCATGGGGCACTCTCCTGGGGCATGGTGGGCCCCAAAGGGCGAAGGACACTCTGTGTCCAGGAGGTTGGAAGTGATGGAACGGGCCTCGGCGTGAGCCCAGTCTGTGCCTTCTCTTGGGGTGGAGAAGGGGTGTGCTTGTGTCCCACCTGCAGATGGAAGCCAGGGCAGGACGAGAGGGGCCATGACTCGGGCTGGCCATGGGGCTGAGGATCTCCCTGGACACCAGCTGCAGCCCAGGTGGGAGAAGGGAGTGTCTGGTTCTCTTCAGGACGGGTGGCCTTGCTAGTCTGGTGCAGGCAGGGTCCTTCTGGTGGGTAGTGTCAGCTTTGGGGAAGCCAGGTGTCCTCTGCACCAAGATGCCCACCATAGGATAGGGCAGGTCACACTGCACCCATGGTCTCCCCTTCTCCTCCCTGACCGCCTGTAACCCACCCTACCTCTCCAGAGCCCCTTCCTTGCCTGGCCAGCCTGTGTCTCCCTCAGGGGTGTTACACTGCCCCACTGTTCTCGAAGCCCCTGACAGTCCCCACCTGGCCAGTGTCTCCAGGGCTCCCATTCTGCCTCCCCTTCAGCAGGGTCCCCCTCCCAGCATTTGGGGACCTGCACCAGGAGGAGCCAGGCCTCTGGTGCAGGTCCCCCCGCAGAGCTTTCGRGGTCAGATTTCTCCTGAGTGTGTTTCTGTCCCGTCTGATCCCTCCCCCAGCCTGGCTCTCCTGCAAATGGACCTGGACACAGGTAGCAGCCGCTGGGTGAGGTGACCCCCCAGCCAGGCYGAGGGCACTGTGGCTGTCGGGAGTCTGCAGCCACGCTGCCTCGCAGTGTGCCCTGGGGTGTGGTGCAGTAGGGCCTGTCCTCCCTCACCCACGACGGGCTCTGGGCACTGAGGGAAGGGCAGCTAAGACCCCACGTTGGGCCCCCGAGCCACATGGGAACCTGGGGAGATGGACGAGCCAGAAGCAGGCCTGGGGGGCCTGACCCTGCTTGGAATGACCTGAGGCAYCAGTGACCCTGCAGCTGAGCCCAGGGGCACAGGCCCTGGAACAGCCCTGCCTGACCCACCTGGTGGGCTTCTTGGGCAGCCCAGTCCCTGGAGCTCCTGGGGCCACCCACTGGGGCCCTCCTGGGCTGAGGTGGAGGATGCTGTTGCTGTAAGGGTACCAGGTTCCCTGCCTAGGTCAGTCTCCACTGTCCCCTCCAAGACARTGTGGACAGGGTAGGCAGGTACAGCACCTGCCACTGGCCATGTGAGAGCCAGGGAGTGGTCCCGTGTCCAGGGTGGGACGCCTGCTCTAGAGGCTGTTGGGGTGGGGGTCCCTGGGCCCTGGAAAACTGTCCCCTCCCCTGTTGGCCAGGTCATGGGAGCTGGTCAGATGACTGGGGCTCCTCCAGCGTCCTCAGTTGTGTCCCCTGTACTGGTTTTTGTGCTTTAGGCCCAAGCTCCCTGATGGTGGTCTGAGAGAGAGACTTGCTCTGTTTAAAGGGGAGTGTGATTAACAAAGCAGAGATGAGAGGCGATCTTCTGAGGTGGTAGTGGAGGCTGGGCCCGCAGCAGGAGTGGTGGGGCAGCCTGCTCCACAGCAGGACCGTCACTCGCTGTGAGGAGTAGGAGCCCCCCTTCTGTGGAGTAAGATGGCCTACCGCCTGGGGTCCTTGCTGGAGAGAAACAGACCACCCTGAGCTCCTGGAGGCCAGGGAGGAAGCACTCTGCTTCTCTCAGGGCTGGGCCCCGTGCACACTGTAGCCACGCCTCGCCTGGCCCTCAGGGACACCTGGTCTGTGAGCCTCCGGCCCTGGCAGTGTGCTGCARGTGTGGACAGGAGGCAGGCTCCCTCCTGTGGCTCTGGGAGTGTGCGGTGCTGGGCGGGGTGCCTTGGCATTGTGTGTCTGGGACAGCATGGGGGGTGGCGATGGGAACCTGCTGCTCCTGAATATCCCTTGTGGTCTGATAAAGTTCTGGATGCTTCCCCAGGAACATGGGGACCGCAGAGCGTGTGGGCCCCTGAGATCTGCCACGGTGCTGTGCTCTCACCTCGTGTGTTCCCATAACACATTGGCCTGAGTCGGCTTTCTGTGGCTATAACTGAACACCTGAGGCCAGGTAATTGGAAGAATGGGGATGTGTTTAACTCCCGGTTCTGAAGGCTGGAAAGTCCAAGAGCACAGCACTGGCATTGGACGAGGCCTTGCTGTGGCGTTGGGTGGAGCCAGTGTGCCAGCTCGGGTCTGTCTCTCCTCTCACCACTGGTACCATCGTGGGGGTCGTGCCCCCAGGACCTCCTCCAACCCGCCTGTCCCAGATGACTCGGAGATTAGATTTCTGGCCCTCAACAATGTTACAGAGTGGAACGGCCAGCCCTTCCACTGCCAGCCTGCACGCAGGAGCACGGCCCCCTGCTCAGCTCTGTCTGTGTGGCCCTGAGCCGTGTGGGCTGAGCTGAGCGCCTGCAGCCCTTGGAGCCCAGTGCTGCCTGTGGCCCAGTGCTCCAGCATCACACACTGACCTGAGTGCAGGCCCTTTCAGAACAGGGGAGCCCTTGGCGGCAGAGTAGGCCCCCAGTGACTCCACGCTGGAGCCGCTGTGCCCTGGGTGATGCCCGTGAGCTGCAGGAGGCCTTCAGGGGCAGCCCAGGAGTTGGAGAAATGGGGTGAGGCCGCCACAGCTTCAGATAAGGTAAACCACAGGGCTTCAGAGTTTTCCAGAATGCCCTTCCCCCGTCTGAGTCACCGCGTGCTCTGCRAGAAGAGGGTGCACATTCGGATCCCTTCTGTCTTCCGGGATTACAGGGCTGCTGTGCCTGGGTGACTAAGTGGGCGCGCACCATGGTCTTGGTGCTTTCGGCTGGGCGTTTCTGCAGTGCTGTCACCATAGCACCCAGCTCAGCAAGGAGCAGCAGGGAGGGGACTGGGAGACCTGGCCTCTGAGGGACGGGCTCCTGCCGTTTTAAGTGGCTGAACCATGAGCACGGCAGGCCCAGGCTGTGTTCTGTTATGTGCACGGTCCAGGAGACGAGCACTCCACACACAGGGCATGGGCCTTAGGGCAGAGCAGCTGGGAGCCCCTTGGTGGCCGCTACCTCCTTCCGCTCCCTGCCCTCCTCAGGAGGCCACACTCCTTCCCTGGCCTAGATTTCCAGGATCTTCCCAGCAAAGCGGTGACCTCCATGACGAGGTAGCCTGGAAAAGGAGGTCAGGAGAGTTGGCTGTTCCTAGACAGGAGCGCGGAGCATTGCTCGTGGGCCTAACTATGCTGCAGCCCAGGTGCCATGTCAGGGCCTTGGAGCAGCTGACTACTCACAGGAGGCTGAAGCAGGCAACTGCCCCATGTCCTTGTGACCCTCCCAGCTGGCCCTGGGCAGGTGGCTCAGGGACTACTCCCCTAGGCAGTGGGCTCCACAGGCAGTATTGGAGCTCCTGCAGYCCCCACCACAGTGCTGCTTGCTATCTCCCCTTCCTGAGCTCCTGGTTGAGACCTGTGTGGCTCCAGCCCTTCTCAGGCTCCTGAGTAGGTGGAAATCTCAAAAATAAGCACCAGTCCCTCCCGACACCACAGACTGCCAGACCCTGCTAATGAGGCCAGTGCCTGTGTGCACACAGGGAGTCGAGGGCTGCTGTGCAGGGCAGCACCAGCCTACAAACCCAGAAACCAGCTGTCGGGTGGGCAGCGGGCCGGCTCCCGGGCCTTGGCTTGGAAGGTGCTGTTCCTGGGGCGAAGGACCCAGGGGCCTCGTGTCCTGGCTTAGTCCTCTGTGCTGGGGTAACCGTTCCAAGCAGTGCCCTGCCTTCTCCAGAGTCCCCGTAGACAGTGGCTCGCTGGACGAGAGGGCGTGGGGCACGGCGCTGGCGTCCTCTCCCGGCTTTTCCTTTCGCTAGCACCTCAGCTGCCCTCCAGGGCTCTGGGTCTCATGCTGACCCGCCTCTGGCCTGGGCTTTGGGTGCAGCCATCCTCCAGGCCTGGCTACAAGTAGAGCAGTCTCTGGGACTGGAGGGGCACATGGTGGCTTGAGGACAGATCGCGTTGGGATTCCCACCCTCTCCCATGGGAACTTTGTACACTCCCGAGCTGTCCACTTAAGAGCTGCCTGTCAAGCCAGGCGGCTCTGTGGTGTGAGTTCAGAACCAGGGCAGGTGCCCTCTTTGTGGCCAGGTTGAAACATGAAAGTCCTCAACAGACTTTGATGGGGCGGGGCAAGTGGATCTTCCAGGTGGCAACAGGCTGGTGCTGGTGTGTACCTCTCCCTGTCCGGGCTCCTCTACCCTGAAGCTTGGGAAAGGACCTGGGCTGACCTGGGCACCCTCCTCTGTGGCTCCTGGAGTCCTGGGCCACACCCCTGGGGTGCTGTTCTCCTGCTGCCTGGAGAGGGTGCCTCTGTGTGCATAGAGGCTCTGGAGCAGGGGTAGGAGGCGCTGATCCYGTGTGTTGCGTAGCCAGAGGCAGCAGCTTGATCAGGCCCCCAGGCCCTCACTTGGTGTTCAGGCATCTTGCTTCCCGCCTGCCAGCCTGTGTCCCAACCGGCAGGCCCTGCGGCCACTTGGGAGGACCACAGCCTGTTCCTTGGGATGTGGCCTGGATTTGGTGGTGGAGGTGATGAGCCAGCCACTTTAGGCCCTTTCAGTTGCCCTCCAGAGGGGAGGGCTGCGCTCAGGGCAGGGGTCTGTGCTCAGTGTCAGCCCTGGGCAGGCCTGGACCTTGGGACACATTGTCCCGCTCTCGCTGGGAGTCAGAAGTGTGCCTTGGTGGCCACGTTGGGGACAGGCCCCACCCAGCTGGGCTCCTCCCCACCCCCAAGCTGAGCCGTGTGTGGAGAGGCGCCAAGGGAACAGCCTGCTCTTGGATCCCCTCGCCCACGGGCTCCGCTGCCCACCCACGCTGAGTCAACATGAGGCAAGGCTGTGAGTCAGACGGGAGGCGCCCCTCGCGGCGGGGCCTGCCCCCTGCTGGAGGACAGGAAGTGATGCTGCAGAAGCCACTGGGCAGCTCTAGGCTGGTCAGGCTCTGGAGCAGGGGTAGGCAGCTGTTGGGTGGGCAGCGTGCCGGCTCCAGTTGGGTGGTCGCAGGAGGGGAGGGGAGGCAGGCATTCTGGGAGCCTGAGTGGGAGGGGAGGGGTCTGGGCACCCACCTCAGGGGCTTTAGAGACCTTGACCTCCACCCACAGGCCTGTTGTGTTTGGTGCTTGAAATTTCTGCTGTCTTCATTAAGTCCCCCAGCCCTAAGGACCTGGCGCACCGAAGACACTTGACCTAAGGCCAGGCTGAGCTCCAGGAGACTGAAGTGGTCGCTTTAGATGGTTGGATTAGGAACTGCAGGAGGTCAGCCATGGCCCCTGTGCTAGTGCTGCACACTACCAGGCCTTGGGCACACCCCTGCCAACCAGGTCACGGAAGGGATAGCAGAGGAGTCGGAGCGGTGGATGCACTCCTCCCCAAGGGACTGAGGTGGAGAGCCCTGGGGCTGGGTGCCTGTCATTTCCTCGGGGAAAGCGCCTACAGGGCTGGGACCTGGGCTCAGTGCCCCCTGCTGGCCCCTGTGCTCCTGCCCCTTGTGGCTCTTCCCCCACTCCTGCCCTGACAGCGCCCTGCACTGTGTGCCCAGTGGCCTCTCTGGGGTGGGTTTGCTTGTACTGGTTTTTAAGGCTGTTTAAAATTGTCGTGCAGGCAGGGCTGGGGTTGCAGCTCATGGTAGAGCGCTTGCCTGGCGTGTGTGGGGCACTGGGTTCTGTTCTCAGCACCACCTATAAATAAATAAAGGTCCATTGATAACTATTTTTCTAAAAAATTATAATGGAATCAACGTCCCGTAGTCACTCTTAAGTGTACAGTTCAGGGCCGTGAAGCACCTTCTTACTGACCCTGACCATCCCTGCACCCACCCCCAGAACCTTCTTCAAGTGAGAGACTGGCCCGCCCACACCCCCAGCCCCTGTTGGCTTGTCTCTCTGAATCGACTTCTCCATGCTCACATTTTTTGGGGAGACCCTTTGTCCTGGTGTGTGCAGCCTTGGGGTCTTGGAGGCTGGTTGGGTGAGGTTCAACTTGGGCTTGGGGGTTTTTTTGTCAAGCACTCTTCCTGGCTGGATTAGCGGTCCCCCAGGAAACACCACAGCTGGGGCAGGACAGGTGTTGGTAGTCGGAGCCACATTCACAGCCACTGGGGCGTACGGAGGGCTGGGTCTTTGGATTGGGGTGGGGGTGCCGCTGGCTCCTGTGGGTTCTGTGGTGTGGCTTCACCACCTGTCTTTCCTGAGCCCAGAGCACCTCTGAGGCTGAGGGGTTTTCCAAGCCACCATGTCGGGACACATTCCCAGCCTCTCCGGAGGAGGCACCAGGGGTAGGCATCTGGGTAACACTGAACTGAAAGGTCAAGGTCATGGGTGGCCTCCTCCCCCGTCAGGGCCCTGCAACACATACGTCCTGTTCTTGAGCACGTGTCCTGTCAGGGCTCAGGAAGGAAGGCCTGCCTGTCCCCCGCTGTTTCTCACTCCTCCCAGCCACCTCTCTCTCCTCCCCACGACTGGCTTCTCACTCTCTCCCACCAGGGCTTCTCTGTCCCCACTCCTGGCCTGCTCAGGTGGGGCCTGGTGGGAGAAGAGCCTCAGAGCGTCTTCCCACCCACAGCAGGCTGCCCGGTGTCCCCTTACTGCAGATGTCCTCGCCCCCTGCTCAGGAACACTGACTGATGCAGGAGGACAAAGCAGCAGCCCCATGGCTGTGGGCCGGGATGCTGGGTGGCTCCACGTGTGCGTTTCTATGCCATGGCCGAGGCCACACAAAGAGGCTGGCCTGCCACTCACACGCAAGATGTGGCTCAAGGAGACAAGCCGAACCCCTCCACCTGGGTCCCCTGCAGGAGGCAGGACCCTTGGTCACACTGTTGGCATGAAGAGGCATGCCAGGAGTGGCTGCAGGGGACGGGGTCATCGGTTGTCCTGAGTGGCCCTGACGCCGAGCTATTTCAGCTTCCACTTGGCAGGAACAGGACCTGACCTTTACATCGTGGGGCTGCCTGGATTCAGCCCACCGTGAGTTCTCACTGGCTCAGCCCTCTCTCCTTTATGCCCCCAGTACATCGACGCCATCAGCAGCAAGCAGGGCGAGCTGGAGAACTACGTGTCTGATGGCTACAAGACGGCGCTCACAGAGGAGCGGAGGAGGTTCTGTTTCCTGGTGGAGAAGCAGTGTGCCGTGGCCAAGAACTCTGCCGCCTACCACTCCAAGGTGAGCGGTCTGGGCCTCCAGCTCTGCTTGTTTGCGGCTGGGCTACTGGTGGACRTGAACTAAATAGGGCCATGTCGAGGAGTGTTGTGTCTCCGGCTGTGGTCCAGTAATACTGAGTTAGAATATCCCTGCACGCTCCTGTTCTCCTGGGGACAGAGTTCTAGGGGGAGAATTGCCAGATCAAAGGATACGGACATTTTGAAGACCTGCATCAGAAATTGCTGGGTGCTTTTCAAGAGCTCAGGTACTAAGGAGGGCTCGAGGATGCGTTTTTTGGGCCTTCTAGAACATTCTTGGTGAGACATGGGCTGGTGGCAGACTGGACAGTGGCCCACAGTACTCCCCAGTGGGGTGGGGGTCTCTGCTTGGCCACCCTGCAGCATGGGCTCGGTGCCTTCACCTCTGCCCCTGGGGGCCCCTCTAACTGAACTGGGAATGGTCTCTGGGCCTGTGGCCCTGCCCCCTGCAGTGTGGAAGGCTCCCTGACTCTGGCCAGGTGTCCTGGCCATCCGAGACCATGCCACAAACCCCCAGGCCTTTCTGGCCATGTCTAGTAGCTGCCATGGCTTGGTCACCCACTCAGACCTGCCCGTGCCTTTCTTCCTGAGCCCTGCCCAGCTGCACCCAGGTCCCTGCTCATAGCCTCGCCCCTGCTTCACACTACTATAGGGAATCAGACCTGTCACATGGTCCTTCTGAGAGGGCTCCTCACCTCTCCTGTTCTCTTCCCTCAAGCCACGGGGTGTCCTGATGGGACTGGGGTATGCTGTGTCCTGCTTCCTTCCCAGGCCCCATACTGCCTGGGGCTCACACCCTCCTGTTTCCACTAGGCCACACTCGCAGCTCCTTGAGGGGTGGGGAGATTCCCCCTGGGAGGCTCTGAGTCCTAGGCTCMAGTCCAGCCTTGCGGAACAGAAACGGCTGGAGGGTTCTCTAAGGATGGATTTCCTCAGGGGCTGCAGTAGGCTTCCTCCTTGGGTGACCTGGGGCTGAAGGACAGGGCTGGAGGGCTGATGCATCCCCCAGGGCAGTCAGGCCTAGGCACCAGACTTCCCGGGGCCCTTGTTCGCCCTTAGTCCATTACAAGAGCTGAGATGGACTCAGATTATGTCCCTGGAACATTCCAAGAGTTTAGAAGACCTGTTGGGCAGCTGAGCCCACCGGGAAGACCCTGCTTGTGTTCCCTAAGTGAAGGAGACGCCAAGGGGGCCGCAAGTGAACACCAACGCGTGCACTGCCCATCACAGGCTTGCACACCCACACAATCTAGAGCCATGTCGTTAGTCCCCGTAGCCTAGGGCATCAAGGACACAAATGCCACTCCCTCCAGAGGTTCCTATTCTCACTTGCCTGGACAGGTGGCATCTCTACCCCTGGAAGGGGTGGGGACACTGCTGGCCATGCCTCCTCCCACTTGCCTCTGGYTGCCCTGCCTCAGCATCAGAGCCAAGCTGGGCTGTGTGGTGCTTGCAGGGCGACAGTGGCCGTGGCCTGCGCCCTCTAGTGGGGGCCAGGCCCTGTGAGGATCAGGGAGGGAGAGCAGAACTCTGCCTGGGCCAGCAGCCTGGAGGCCTGCTCCAGACCCTTGGAGGTCCTTACTTACAGGACTCCCTAAAGGAGACCTTAGCTTAACACCTGTGGTTTACCTGCCCGGCGTCCACCCTCTGTGCTCATGCCCATGGGCATATCCCAGGCAGACCCGTGTCCTCCAGAGGCAGAGCCAGGCTCTGGCCCTGGGAGGGAACAGGAGCAGTGAGCCCCAGTACTGTCCTCTCCTTCAGTTCCAGCAGCCAGGCCTGGCCAGACTGGGCGCCCCCTGCCCCCAGTCAGCTTCCTCTCCTGCCTCTTGGTGGTTCTTTCCCTAGTGACACGTGGTCTGCTCACGGAGGAGCCGCGTGTCCTGGGGTGGCTGTGTGAACCCCCTGCCCACTTCTTGTTCCAGGCCCCTGGGAGTCTCCCCAGGATTTAGCCTCAGTTGGTTCTCACCCTGAAGCTCCCCACCTTCACAGCTTGTGAGAGTGCACCAGGCCCCGGCTGGGTAGCCCCCACCACCACTTCTTTTTAGTTATAGTTGAACACAGTACCTTTATTTTATTYATTTATTTTTATGTGGTGCTGAGGATGGAACCCAGTACCTCACAGGTGCCATGCGAGCACTCTGTCACCGAGCCCAACCCCAGCCCATGGTAGACCTTTTTGTACAAGGCCATGTTTCACGGGTGACCTGTCTCACTCCGGGGCACCTGATGATGAAGAGCAGCCGTCGGTGCCTCTGGGCTCTGTCCTCCACAAGGAGCCTGTGGCTGCCTGAGTTCCTCCTTGTCCTGTTTCTTCCACTTCAGGGCAAGGACCTGTTGGCCCAGAAGCTGCCGCTGTGGCAGCAGGCCTGTGCTGACCCCAACAAGATCCCAGACCGTGCCGTCCAGCTGATGCAGCAGATGGCTAGCAGCAACGGCTCCATCCTCCCCAGCGCCCTGTCAGCCTCCAAGTCTAACCTGGTCATCTCGGACCCCATTCCTGGGGCCAAGCCCCTGCCGGTGCCCCCTGAACTGGCCCCATTTGTGGGGGTGAGTCCTGGACCTCCTGGAGTGTACGGACATGGGGGTGGGCCCCTTTGCTGGGGTGGCTGCCCCTTCTCTGAGGGACACCCCAGTGTGCCAAGCCCAGGGCCCCCATGGGACACAAAGGGCTATCTCATCTGGTCCCATAACACCTCACCCCTGCCTCCTGTTCTCTCCAGCGGATGTCTGCCCAGGAGAATGCACCCATCATGAATGGTGTCACAGGCCCAGACAGCGAGGACTAYAGCCCCTGGGCTGACCGCAAGGCTGCTCAGGCCAAGCCCCTGTCTCCCCCACAGTCGCAGAGCAAGCTCAGCGACTCCTACTCCAACACACTCCCCGTGCGCAAGAGYGTGGCCCCGAAGAACAGCTACGCCACCAGTAAGGCCCCAAGGGTGCTGGGCGGGACCCTGCCCAGGAGAGGCGCAGGCCTGGGAGACCCTGAGCCCTGAGCTGTCAGAGGCCTCCCGAGCGAGGGCCTGCAGTGCACATCCGGCTGGGAGTGCCACGTGTGCAGGGAGGCAGAGCCCTGTCCCTGGGCTCAGGAGGGCTTCCTTCAGCCACGGTAGCACCTCGCATCTGCCCAGGGCATTCAGGCACCCTGGCTAATGCCACAGGCTCCCTCTGCCATGGATAACCCCTCACACTGGCCCCCATTGTCCCAACAGCTGAGAACAAGACTCTCCCACGCTCCAGCTCCATGGCAGCCGGCCTGGAGCGCAATGGCCGCATGCGGGTTAAAGCCATCTTCTCCCATGCGGCTGGGGACAACAGCACACTGCTGAGCTTCAAGGAGGGCGATCTCATCACCCTGCTGGTGCCTGAGGCCCGTGACGGCTGGCACTACGGCGAGAGTGAGAAGACCAAGATGTGAGTATCCAGTGGGCGAGAGTGGGCTCCAGGCACCCTGGTCCCTTAGTGAGCACAGGACACTGCGGCTCAGATGTGCTCACAGTGCTGGTTCTCTGTGGGGACGGATGGACGGCCCAGGTCTTAGGTCCTCCTAGGATGAGGTGAACCCGAGGGCTTGCCCATGTGGGGCAGCAGCCTTCACAGCTTTCTTCACTGACAGTCCCCTCTGCCACTGCGTCATCTTTCCTGGCCACTCAGTTTGGCATGCTGAGTGGTGTTCTGGATGCATATATTCTGTTGCACTCCTAGCTTCCCGGTGGCCAGGCCTGTGGTCTCCCAGGCAGGTGACAGAGCGGGACGTGTCCAGCCTGAGACCCCCAGCCTTTGTGCTCCTGCGTCTCTGGCCTGGCCTCAGTGGTGGTACCACATCCTGCAGGCTGTACCATCACAGATAATGCCTGTTTGCAGAGAGCCTGTGCCAACATGCCACTCTTGCTGCACCTGGGGGCTCCTGTCCCAGGGCCTCTTTTGTCCACGTGTGTGGTAGCAAGAGGGAAGACGGCTGAGGTGGTCTGAGGTCCTGGCCCTGCTCTGGCTCAAGGGCAACCATGGCCCAGGAGAGGGGTCTCTGAGGACAGGAGGTCCCATCTTCCTCTTCCGGCGGCTTCTCTGGCTTTGGAGCCTTGGCAAGGGGCTATRTGACAGATGGAGCACAGCTGTGCCCAGGACTCCACAGGGACCCTGCCCAGCCTGTGGTGGTAGCAGCTAGGCCCATGGCTCCATCAGAGAGGGACATAGAGCTATCTTGCCCTCAGGGCTGAGTGTGGATCCAGCAGGGGCCAGGGGACCAGGGTACAGCCGGTAGAGCCAGGCTGGGAGATGGGTGGGATTTGGAGTCTGATGGTGATTGGCAGAGGCCRGAATGCCGCTCATTTGCTGGCCTGAAGACCTTCGGTGCAGCGGGGAACCCTCTCACCGGGGCTTCTCTTCCAGGCGGGGCTGGTTTCCCTTTTCTTACACCCGGGTCCTGGACAGTGACGGCAGTGACAGGTTGCACATGAGGTGAGCATGCCACCCTGGTCGCAGATGGGGGCGCCTGGTCTTCGGCCCTGGAGAGTGCTGTGGTGGGAGCACAGGGAGCACGGCTGGGCCCTGCTCCTCTGCCATCACAGTCCCACTGCTCGTCTGAGGCCTGTGAGGTGGGTGGGGTGGGCCTCGGGGCTGGCCTGGCCCCCACGGGTTCTGGGCGGTCGGGCACTGGGGCTGCGTGGGCAGCCTTTGGCTGATCCATCGTGCTGGGGCCCATACCCTATTTATCTTTGGAAGCAGGGAGGCCAGCAGGGAAGCCCACTGGGTTAGCATGGCTGCAGCCGGGTCTTGGGGCAGCCTGGCAGGGCCCAGCGAGAGTGCGCCATGTGAAGGCACCAGAGCCACATTGCCGGGGGGCCGTGGGGGCTGGGCTGCGGGCTGCCTGGCCTCCCCTGAGCCCTGCACCCCCATAGCCTCCAGCAGGGCAAGAGCAGCAGCACTGGCAATCTCCTGGACAAGGACGACCTGGCCCTCCCGCCCCCTGACTACGGCACGTCCTCCCGGGCCTTCCCCACCCAGACAGCTGGCACCTTCAAGCAGAGACCCTACAGCGTGGCTGTGCCTGCCTTCTCCCAGGTGAGTGCTGGGACCTTGGGTGGCGTCCCCATACCAGTCTCCCCTGAGGGGCCAGGTGCCCAGTGCTGGGCAGTATCTGGGTCTCCTACCCTGCTGGCCTGGGGTGAGGTCTCTGTGGTTTGGGACTTGTGTCCACACATCTTACAGGTGACTGCTGGTGCCAGCCCCACACAGCCCCCTCTTCCAGCCTTGGCTGCTCGCTGTCCTTTCCTGGTCTAGCTGTGGTAACCGGGTTGAGTGGCTGGCTCAAGGCTGTCCTGGCACCCAGCACTGCTCAGGAGGACCCCACCCAGGGGTTGGGGAAGAAGAGATTCCCAGGCTCCTCTCCCAGAGAGTTCAGGTGGTCCCAGGAGCCCCTGCTGCCTGAACCCTCCATCAGTGTGGCCTTGGAGGTCATGCCGTCCGGTACTAGAGACCAGAGGGGGTGGGTGTGGCTCTGTTCAGGGTGTCCATGTGTTGGAGCCCATGCTTAGAGCATGTGGCAACAGCAGGAAGCCCACGGGCCTTGGGCACAGGCCAGTCTCCAAGCAGGGAGTCACCTTCATGTCCCTGTGGTCTTGAGCTTTGATTCAAGGCTAGGAGAGTCAAAGATGGTGAGGCTACCCACCCTTTGATGTCCAGTGGTCAGACCAGGCTGGCAGAGGTGAGACAGCTGTCCATAGCCATCCCCACCCAGCCTCACGCCTAGACAGTGTTGTCTCCCCAGGATCCAGACATTTCTAGGAAGCTATGGTTTGGGGCTCAGAGGGACAAATGGCCCGAGGCCAGCCCAGGCTCCTGGCCAGATACCCATTTTCACCAGCTGCCCTCCCCCGCACTGGCCTCTGCCTGCCCAATGTCCTCTACAGGCACACGTCCATCTCCCCCACCTTGGTCATACCTACCCCCAGGGCCAGCCTCTGCACATCACTTGCTTAAGGTCTGGCCTCCTGGTGAGGCCCCTCTGTTTTCCAAGACTGCCAGAGAGCCCTGGCCTCTCCTTTTGTCCTCCACCTGAACGGCCAGTGTTCCTTCTGGGCCTTGGCCCTCGGGGAGGCCCCATTGTGTGGAGGGTGTTTCATGTGCCAACAGCTCACATAGTCCAGGAGGCCACTGGCTAGATGAGGAGCTGTCCCGTTAATTTGGGAGGTTCCCATGTCACCATGGGGAACCAAGGGCTCCAGGATGCCCACAGCCACTGCAGCCAGAGACGGGTGGAGACAAGTGCGGGCCTGCAGAGCCCAGTCTCAGCCCGGGGCAGAGAAGTCCCTGTGGACAGTGCCAGGGGCCTGTATCCCCAGGCTGACCATGTGCCTTCACTTCCCCAGGGTCTGGAGGACTACGGGGCGCGGTCCATGAGCAGGTAAGGGCTTTCGAACGGCTCTTGAGGCTGGGCGGGTGCACCACTGGCTCGATGGGGGTGCTGGGAACTGAGTCTCTTCTTCCTGGGGAGCCCTGCTGGGGCTCAGCCTCCACCAGAGTCAGACCCTGTATCAGCCCTGCTCCTTCTCCCTGGCATCCGGCTGGCCCCGTCCACCCCAGCAGGGTCAGAGAGGGCTGCCTGCCTACCTCCTTGACTCCTGAGCCCTGGGCAGCCTCGGTCACCACAGGACACATTCCTGTCTGGGCTTCTACGTTGCCCACTCCTGAGGCGGTGGCCAGGCTCTGGCCAGCCAGAGCTGATGGAGAAGGCTGTTGCCGGCGGTGGGCCTGCTGCCTCTGGCTAGCGTGGTGCGCACCTGGGCAGCTGTCCTATATACTTTGTTCCACAGTGGCAGTGGCACGCTGGTGTCCACAGTGTGAGGACGCTGACCACGGGCAGCTGCTCTGAAGAGCCCCCGCCTCCACCGGTTCCCTCCTCCGCTCTCGTCGGTTTGTTCTTGGGTTGTTTTTTTCCCACCTGCCCCCGCCTTTTGGTTGGTGACCCCCGACTCTGCGATCCCCCAGGGTCCATGGTGCTGCTCCCTGCGCCCCCGCGCTCACACCCCCACCTGTGTGTCCCCAGCCTCAAGCAGAGACTGCCAGGCGGGGCCTGCCGGCCGGGCAGCAGTGTAGTGTCCTCGCCCGCTGCCTGGCCCTGCGGTGTCTGCGACGCACACCCCTTTGTGAAGCTCGCCACGGGCCAGGTCTAGAGCTCAGAGAAAAAGAAAAACCTTAAAAAAAAGAAAAAAAAGAAAAAAGAAAAACAGGAAAAAGGACTTTTTTTTTCCTGAAAAAAAAGATCTGCATGGCCTCGGTGTCCGCACTGTTACTGTGCACCTGCCCCGGCGCCCTGGGTCTCCCAGCACAGACTCCGGGCCCAGAGGCTCCGCCCTGAGGCCCAGCCCACCCAGCCCCCTCCAAGGACCACACCAAGAAAGGGGGCTCATGCTGAGCTCAGGGGGGCCTCCCGAGGAAGCTGGCCACTCCTGTGAGGGAGGCCACAACCCCAGGCCCTGCCCTGCTAGGCCACCAGACCAGGCAGGGGCCTCTTTCCTTGGTGGRCACTGCTGGACAGGAGTACACAGAGCAGTGTGTGGCGTCTCAGTAGTGGGGTGGTGTTGCCCCCGCAGTGCACTGGCAGGAGCAGGGGCCAGAGCAGGCGCTCCTGGCCGCACGTGGACATTCCAAAGACCTCCAGAGACCACCCCTCCCTGTTTTTTGGAAGCCATTTCCTTAACCAGCCTGCGAGGGCGTCGCAGCTCCCTGTGGCCCCTGGACTGCGGGGGCAGGGTATGCGCAGCTGGTCTGGCAAGGCCACCCCAAGGGGCTCTGGGCAGGCGCTTCGCGCCTCCCACCGTGGAGAGCAGGCAGCCTCTGCCCTGGTTCCTCCTAAACACTCTCGTCTCTCTGTGTGTCTTGGTGACCTTAGAAGCAAGCACACTGGACTCAGTGGCTACTGGTTTTGTCTCTTCACACACTGAATTCTGAGTGGCTGAGCCAAGGTGCAGCTGGCTGGGCCCTGTGGCCGCTGGGAGCCTTCACGAAGCTGCAGACAGGCCTGTCGGAGGTGTTTAGCCAGAGCCTCCGCACACTGCCGGGGACTGGGACGCGGCTGTGGTGTCTGCAAGCCGCATCTGCAGGCACAGGCAGCCCAGGATGCTAAAGGGAGCACAGCCAGAACCTGGACTGTGTGAAGAACCTTCCGTGTCCCATTTTGCTAAAAGATTTCAAATCCAGGGGATTCCATGCGCAATGGATGAATGTAGACACAACACACAAAACCTGTATGAAGATGTAAAGTGCTGGAGATATTTTTCCTTTCTCCTTTCCTTTTTTTTTTTTTTTTTTTAATCTGAGTTGTGCCCTGTACTGCAGTTCACTGTTTGAATAAAAGTTTTATTTATTGCATCAAGTTGGGTCTGGCGCCTCCTTCCAGTCCCTGGCATGTGTCCAGGCTTTATTGGCCAGGCCACGCCTCCAGGCGCTGATCTATAGCCTCTTCGGTGGGCTTTGCAGGGCACCTTGGGGTCATTTGCTGGAAGGAYCTAGGTTTGTGGACAGTGCTGACCCCTTTGAGCCCAGCGCCGTTGCTGCCACCCTTCTTCACTGGGCTCACTGGTGGTGCTGCCCCAGCTGAGAGAGCAGATCCTGGTGGGGCCTGGGCAGGCTCCAGGTGGGGAAGGTAGCCCCTGCTCGGCCTCCTGCAGACCTGAATAGCAAGGCAGCCTTCGGGTGCTGCAGCCGGCTCTGCCTGTCAGCTGGTGCTCTGGGCTCCAGGATTCTGGAGCCTGCACTGGGCCCCTGGTGTCCCCAGCCTTTCTGGCCTCAGTTCCCTGCAGAGTCCCCTGACCACCTGTTGCTCCCTCATGCCCCACCAACTGAGCCTTGTGTTTCCTTGCAGCACGGATGTGGAAGTGGCCAGACTTTGAGCTGCCCCTGACTAGTTAGTAAGTTGTCCTGGTCTTCTTATGCCCATCTGTCTGCATCTGCAGTGGATCTGGATGGACCCCCCGCCTGGGCCAGGGTAGCYTGGTGGGCAGGGGCCCACTTGCCTGGCAGGGCCTGGGGGTCTGCCCAGCTGCCGCGCTCGGGGYTCCGGGCCTTCCTTCCATTGGTTCCCTTCTGGGCTCCTGGGTCTTCCCTTTTCCCCTGGAGGCTTGCGGTTCTGTCCTGTCCACCCTGATGCTGCCCTCACTGTGTGGGCTGCCCTGCCTCTGTCTGTCTCCTCCTGCCCCTGCTGGGTGCTTCAGCCACAATCACAGGGTGGCCCTGGCAAGCAGCTGAGACTGACCACAGAGCACCAGCAGGGGTCTTTTTCTGGAGGGGGTGATGGGCTCTGAGCCTGTCCGGTGAGCATCACAGTTGGGCAGAGCTGGGCCCAGGCTCAGGGTACTGGAGACAAGAGGGTCTGGAGCCTGCTGCCCACTGCCTTCTGATCTTAACCTTTCTAAGTCCCCCCATCTCCTCAGCCAGTCCCAAGACACTGGGGAGACTGCCCAGGAGTGGCCCTCTGCCACCAAACCCAGGGCGCCCCCATCAGCCTCCAGCCCCCTTGCTGGTGATGGYTCTTTTGCTGGCGGAGGGAGCAGACAGGCAGCTGGGAACAGGAGGGGTCTTCCTCAGCCCTCACTGTATCACGTGGCCCTGCTGTGCACACACCCACCAAGTGGAGGGGGCCTCCTGCTGCCCTCCCACCCCACACTGCAGGAGGGTGGCCTGTGAGGCCAGGGCCTGCATCCCTTACAAGGGATATCCCAACCCGTGGCAGCCAGACCATTCAGGCAGTCCCGGACCAGGCTCCTGTGGGACTCACTTCTGTTGGGGAATTGCAGCATGAATGTGGAAGGCTCTGTGCAAAAGCTCCTGAAGTCTGGGGGCAGGAAGGCATACTCCCTTCCTGCCCTGTTGCCCTCCCACAGGTGCTCCCTGGGAAGCCTACCCTCCTGCCCCCCTTCCTGTCCTGTCGCCC